TCTCAACCAGCAAAACCCCTTGTTCCTTCCTATTATTGCTTATACTCTCTCTTCAACAAAATTAGAGATAAGGGCAAAATAGTTTCTGCCAGGTATCGAAGGGGAGGGGGGAGAGGGAGGGGGCAGAGTGGGTGGTAAGCGAGGGGGTGGGGGCAGGGGGGAGAAATGACCCAAGCCTTGTATGCACATATGAATAATAAAACAATAAAAAAAGAAATGGTTAAGATAATAAGCTTTATGTTTATATGTATTTTACTGCAATTAAAATTTTTTAACTTAAAAAAAAAAAAAAAAGAATCCCTACAATGAACACATAAATAAACAAGTTTTCTAAAACAGTAGGCTCACATTTCTGGAGTCTTGGATTTGTTTTTTCCATTGAAAAACTCAGGAAGAGCACGCCGCTCAATCACATGAATACTGAAAGGAGGGAAAAAAAGGAGGAATGAGAATTTTCTTTGAAAAAGTAAAATCTTAAAATTTGAGCTAGGTTTTGTTCAATTTTCAAGTTGAAACCGATATATTCAACACTAGAGCACTGTTTCCCAAAATTAATTGGACTGGAGAAATTCCGTTGTATTAACAAGATATAAAAAGTTAAAAAACAGCTTTCCCATTCTCATATTCGTGCTTTAGTTTTTATATTTCCATGACCACACTCAAAAACTTCTACCAATACTATGGCTATGTATTTTATTACTTTCTTGTTATAATATACCATGACTAGATAAAAATTCATAAGAGAAAAGTTTTGCCTTAAAAAAAATCAGAATATAGCCAGGTTCCAGTGGCTCACACCCGTAATCCTAGCTACTCAGTAGGCAGAGATCAGGAGGATCATGGTTTGAGGTCAGCCCAAGCAAACAGTTCGTGAGAACCAATCTCAAAAATATGCAAGACGAAATAGGGTTGGTAGAATGTTTCAAGTGGCAGAGCACTTGTCTTAGCAAGTGTGAGGGCCTGAGTTCAAACCCTGGTACTTCCCCTTCTCCCCACAAAAAATGATAAAAAATTAAAAAAATCAGAATATACATTACAGCAAACCAACTGATGAAATGACCAGACAAAAGATAATGGAATTTATAATATTCGGCTACTCAGCACCTCAATATCAATGTATTTTTGTTCAGCCCTCAAAAACACTGTGCTGAAATGTTATTTTTTATTCTGATGACCAACTGCTTTTAAAAAGAGCACAGAATTTTATCATTATATAAAGATGTCTAATAATTTTATAAAATGTTACAGATCAGAAGCACAGTAGAGTTCATATAAAACAAGAAGACCTAACATATATGAAAGTGAAACAAATGTGCATATAGCACAAATTTTTTGATACGAATCCTAATCAATGTTTTATTTTTTTCCAAAATGACATTTTAGTTTTTTAGAATGTGTTCCAGATACACAACATGTTAAGAATCAGTTACATGGAAAACATCAAATTGATGGTCTATAAACAGTTGGCCTTCCACTTTCCTGGGTTGTGCATCCATGGACTGAACCAAACACTTATTGGAAATATTCAGGAAAAAAATATTGCATCTGGGGCTGGATGGAATGCAAGCCTACCATGCATGGGGCCTTAAGGATTTTTGAGAAACATTCAAAAAAATTTTTTTTTTACATTGTGGCTGGGGATTCTGGCTCATGCCTGTAATCCCAGCTAATCTTGAGGTGTACATCAGGAAATCTTAGTCTGGAGCCAGATTCAGACAAAAGAAAGTATTGCCACTCGTCAGGTACTATGATTGCAGAAGAAGAAGCCTACTTACCAGTTGTAGTCAAACCATGATGCATAGCTGGGAATAATAATATGATTGGTCTGCTCTGTCACATTGTCTTCACCAGAGTCAACTGACCGACTCTGATCACCTTTGCTAGGATCTTCATCCTCCTATACAAAAGAAGCCAAAGTTCAGAGAAACAGACAACTATACAAACAAAGAATACTTCTGACATGAATTTTAAGGGCAATTTTTTGGGGCAGAGCCGAGACTTGAACTCAGGGCCTCACACTTGCTAGGCAGACACTCTACCACTTGACCCCACTCTGCCAGCCCTGTTTTGGGTTGGGTATTCTCAAGATAGGGTCTTGAAAGTCAGCCCACTGACTTTAAACTAGGATCTTCCTAATCCTGCCTCCTGAGTCGCTAAGATTAGGGTGTAAACCACCAGGGCCCAGCTAAGGACAATGTTTAAAAATTTTTCAAGGGCTGAGGTCATGGGTCAAGCACCTGCCTAACAAGCTCAAGGCCCTGAGTTCAAATCACAGTACCATCCTCCCTCAAAAACAACAACAAAAAATTCATAGTTTTAATGTACAAAGTAGTCAGCTGACATGTGGATTTTATTCCTCTTTTTAAACAGATGAATGGGTAAGACTCAGTTAAGTTTTAGTAACAAGATGAATTAGTTAACTGAATAAAGGCTGTTTCTATACGGTCAACAATTCACAATGACAGCACAAATCTCTTTCCAAAATAGCTTCTCTGTATCTAATCACAGGTCACAAATCTAAATTACTGGTTCTAATATTATCTATAAAGAGGCCAAGGATACAAATAAAGACTAATGACAAGACTGCCTCTACTTCAAATATTAAGCACTGAGTATCTAAAACAGCCCTAGGTGCACTATTTATCCAATAACAATAGCAGGTAGTATATTTTGGTAGGTTAGGGGATGAAACATACAGTTAATAAGTTATAAACAAAATATAAATTCAAGAAGTCCAGCTATATTATATAGCCAACTACTACTTAAATTTAGCTCTCATTTGTATGTGATTTATGGGAGTTTTGCAAGTGAGTCCACCTAAAAACATGGTTTTCCTAATACAATAATTCCAAAATCATTCCTTCAGATCAAAACACAAAAACATATGGTATCAATCAACAGTAGTAATAAATGCTTTAAAAAATATTTGTTGGGCATGATGGTGCATACATATAATCCAAACTACTCAGGACACACTGACAGGACTGCAAGATTCGAGGACAGCACGGGCAAAAAAGGTAGCAAGGCTGTATCCTAACAAACAAGCCACTTGTGATGGTACATGCCTGCAAATTCCAGGGCGAAGAAGGGGTGGGGCACATACGTAGCTGCAGAAGTAGGACAACTACAGTGAGAAGCTGCCCTGGACAAAATGTTTAAGACCCTAGCCGAAAAATAACTAAAGCAAGAAGGGCTGGAGCTCTAGCAGTAGAGGGCTAGCATATTTAAGTACAAGGGCATGAGTTCAATACCCAGTACCCACCTCCTCTCCCTCCCCCGCCCCAAAGAGAAGAAAATAAAGAAATTCTAGCCCTAGCAAGAACCTTAAATATACAATTTATACTCAAATGGATCCACAGGTCCCAGAAATTTTTTATATATTTTTCTCAATCAAAGATTACACTACATAGGATATTCAGATCTCGTCAGTTTCCTTTAATTTCTGCCTTTTTTGGAGCGCTTTCATAACATTTAAAGAAATTATACCAAACACAGAATGTTTGATTATTTATAATTAGCATAAACATTTTTATCTGAATACTACAGAAAAAATTAAGTGGTTTTTTTTTTTTTTTTTCAAGTACTGGGGTTTAAACGCAGGGCTTCATGCTTGCTAGACAGATGGTCTACCACTTGAGCCACACCTCCAGGCCTTTTTTGCTCTGGTTATTTTGGAGATAAAGTTTGCGTTTTACCCTGGACCTAAGTCTTCCTATTTTATGTTTCCTGCCCTCAAGGGATGACAGGTGCATACCACCACACTCAACTTTTTCCATTGAATTGGGAGTCTCACTAATTTTTTTTTTGCCTAGGTTGTCCTGAAACCTTGATCCCCCCATCTGAACCTCTCTCTGCCCCCTCTTTAACTTGAGATGACAGGTGCATACCACTACGCCCAGTGATTGGCTGACACGGTCTCATTAACTTTTTGGCTGGGTTGGCTTCTAATGGCAATCCTATTTCAGTCTCCCAAGTAGCTAGGATTACAGGCATGAACCACTGGCAAGCTGACAAGAAATTCTTGTCGTATAAGAAACCAGATCAATTTTGAGTCCATATTCTTTCATAATAATTAACATAAAGTTTAATTTCTACCTTTAAATCAATTCAATCTAAATTTCCTGTATTATTTGAGGTTAAGATCTAGTGTCACTACCTATAAACTTAAGATCATAGTTTCCTTAAGATCCAAAAAATGAAAACTTTTAACATATGAAAGCATGAAGGACTTTGCTATTTATAAGATGCTGAAAAACATCTGGCAATACTGGTGACAGAATCCAATCAGAGAAGCTTGCAAAAAATATTCTCAGCACTAACGTTTCTGTTTCAATTTGGTTAAAATATATCTATATCTATATATACACATATTCTGTGGTACTGGGGATTGAACTCAGGGCCTCATGCATGTGAGGCAAACATTAAACCACAGAGCTATATCCCCAGCCCGGTTAATATATATTTTTTACGGGATTTTTTTTTCTTTTTTGGTGGGACTGGAGTTTGAGCTCAAGGCTTCGAGTTTGCAAAGTAAAACTTTTTTCTTTAATGGCCACACTTTCTCTCCCACCCCCAAACCCCCCAGAGGTACTGGGGTTTGAACTCAGGCCTTCCTGCCTGCTAGGCAGACAATCTACTGCTTGAGCCACACCTCCAGCCCTGAATTTTACTTTTTATTATTTTTATTTTTGGTGATACTGAGGTTTGAACTCAAGGATGTGCACTTAGAAGCGTTTTATCACTTGAGCCATGCTCCCAGCCCTTTTTCTATTAGTTTTTTTTTTTTTTTTTT